CAACTCCCAATAGGTGTTAGTTTCATCAGATCACGGGGATTTATCAAATCTGTTATCCACATCTCACTCGGAGAATGTTGATATTGAAATCAGTAGACCACTGTCCCAGTCCACGACTTCTTTCTTGCGTACATCTAGTCTAGAGCCTGATACAAATATTAGGACATATACACCTGGAGCATCTGTTGCTCAACCAACGTGTTGATCATCTCTCTCAGTGATTTGATGATAATCTATTTTCACTTATACGTTGTATTTATGTTTCTGTTTTTTCAGTTCCAACGACCTTCACTGAGTATGTTCAGTGATCGCTGAAGAACTTGCATTGTAAATCTATCAGAGACAGCAATACTTCAAGAAGACAACACTCACACCAAAGAGCTTTCAGCAAACGTCGAAGACTGAAACTGAAGATTAGAGACTGGTGAGTACGTGATCTGAAGCGGTATTCAGTGATTACAAGTCTGTCTACATATGTGTGAAGACTGCTCAAGCTTCAGCGAATGATGAAGAGACCTTCAGGTCATTCCAGCATTCAGCGATCAAAGGAAGCTTGCTTAGCACGATTGTTGTTGTCTTGTCCTTATACACACAAAGGACAAACACCATACCCTTATGAAAGTTGGTACGGTACGGAGCCGACTAGTCGACTCTATTGTCCATCAATTTAGGTAAGGATGTCTGCTCTTGAATAATGTTTGTACTATTCACTGTAGCAAAGGACAAACCTTCCTCTCAAGACTTGACACGCACTCTAACCCTACCATATTGCATTAAATGAACATTTAATGCACTGGGTATAAATAGAAGTGTTTCTTCTCTATGCAGAGTGCGCGTAACTCACTCTCTAACCCTAATTCTTCTTACTTCAAGCATTTTCTAGCTTAAGTAAAGGATCTTCTCTACAGCATTTATTTTCTTGTATTTGCTAAGACTTATGTGTAACTAAAGATTGTTTAGATACGTTTTTATCACCTTATCTTTCCGCAAACAATCTTGTAAAATATGTATTGATCTTCTTTATCAATATATATTTTAAATTTTAAAAAAAATATTGTGTTTGTATTCATCCCCCCCTTCTACAAACTGTTTTGCTATTCTTGTAGACCCTCAAGGGACCATCACAACGGTTCTTAGTGAACACGCCGGAACATCCCGAGGGTGTCTTCTACAGAAACTTCACGAGAATGGGATAGAAATCCTATCAGTGTTACATTATTGCCAACACTGAATGTAGGTCACACAGTTGATTCTGTTGCGTTAACAGGAAGGCTAAGTGTCCCTGGTAGTCATTTCCCCGAAATAGCTATGCAGATGTTGGCTGGTGCTCTTGTTTCCTTTCAAACTTTAATGCACAACCAGGTGGATGAACTACGGTGACTACTGAAGGGCAAATTGGTCATGGAACACATGAGTCGACTACTGAAGGGTAAATCGGTCATGGAGCACGTGAGACGTGAGTCCGACTCCATAGCCACAGCGACCACCTACTCCTGATCCTAGACAACCAACTAAGTGCTCAACTAAATAACTGAAATCCCTATTATACGCTAATATGTTGTCCGAGGCAGATGAGAAAGGACAGGTGGAAGTTGACCTCAATGGCATGCTTAGGGCGCAAACCCAACCTGCGTATGTCACGAGACCGGAGTTCCACGCCTTTCAAGACGAGGTTTGAAGCAGTTTTTGCAGTCTATGTACTCAACTCAACTAGTACCATACACCATCAGAACATCTTTCCAAGCTGTGTCATAGATGATTCAAATCCTTGAAGACACGTGTAAAAGTCAGGCAGGTGGGTCAAAACAAAGACATGATGTCGGGGACGACGACCCCGATCATCATGAAAGGGAGAAAAGATAAAGATCAACTCTCAGTGCAGAACCATCACAACAACAACAGAGTCAAGGTCATCGTCAACAATCCACCTAAGTGGAACCCGAGGCAATGGTTGAAAAGTCGGAAGCTGTTGAAGGACGAATTGTTGAACCATCTACTGCTACTGTTGAGGTCCCATGATCGATCATTGGCATAGCTTCTGATGAAGAAGGGCCTCAGCCTCAAAAATCAAAGAGGAAACTGACAACTTTTTTACGTTCTCTGACGATGAAATGCTCGAAGAAAAGGACTTCGACCATATCAACGATCTCAATGAAGCCATTCTAGAATCACCACCTAGAGATCGGTCGATACCTCAACCACCACCAAGTCAGAGAACCGCGGTCCCAAGTGCTCTAGCAGCAACACATGTATCGAGGTGGAAAAGAACAAGAATCAGGGTTCCGTTCTTTGAAGATACAAAGTTCAAAGTCTTCGACAGAAGAATAGTACAATTGGATCTGGTTCGAATTCTCCAGATCACTCACCTAAACAAGTTCAAGTTATCGAGTATACGCACATGCTAAAGGCGAAGGCTCAACCACTAGAGATGGTCAAGTCAAGGCACAAGATTGTGGGGATAAATAATATATATACACTGACAGACTCGTTTTCTCAGAACTGACGACAAGGAATAGAAGTTCTCAGAAGCTAACTTTAGGCATTTATCTTTCGAAGACTTTGAGACCATGTACCTGGACATCCATCAGTGGACTATCAAAATTGAAGACGTGCAAATAGCTCTAGAAGCTATCAAGCGCTTCATGCTCCGTTAGATAATGCTCGGGTATGTGTCGGACTTGTAGTTGGGCATCGAGAGCAATCAACCAAAGATAAACCTATTGAAGCTAAATCAGAGTCATGAAGAAATAGAGTCCTTGCCTTTGTTCTTGATAATAGAGCAGCCCGAGTTTGGCATTGTGTACTCCAACAACATCGGAGAAAAGAAGTTCATATGCTTCAACGAGCTACCAGGCTATTCCAACGGAACATAAAGCTCATCAAACTGAAGTTGTCAAACAAGCTGGAGCTGGATAGAAAAGGACTAGATAAGCTCAACCTACATGACAAGAACTTGATGTTGAATGCTTTGGACTTGATTGACAAGAAGCTGGAGTATCGAAGGATTATACGCAAATTTGAGACATATTTTGGCCATCGTTCGAGAAGACGAAGATTTGTCTAAAAGCTGCTTTATTGCAAAAGGGGGAGAATGTTAGGTTTTATATTGTGTTTATAATATAATAGAAGGGCATAAAATGTAAATACCTTTATGGCATAAATAGCTACCTTATTTATTGTAATTATCAGCTTATTATTGAGAACGTCGTCCAAGGCAAAAACAATATTTTGTATTCCATATTTTGAATCTATAGACAAGCCGACCGATTTGATCTTGCATTGTGTAATTGTTACTTCATTGTTTCTTGTAATCATCTAGGTAAACAACACATATTTTTTTGTATAATTTGTTTCATTAAAAATTTAATTATATTTAAAATAATTCAAATATAAAATATGGCATTTATCATGTATTTGATTATGTTTATCAAGTAACTATATTAATTCAAATTTGAAGCGTGTTTATCAAGTATTGATTATGTTTGTCATTAGTTATATGAATTCAAGYATCAAGCTTTAAAAAGTTGTGCCACTACATCACTAACATGTAATATTGGATTTTAAATAACGTGCTTTGTTTAATTAACGATACTAAATACGTAAAATTGTTTTTTAAGATTTTTCTTCAAATATTTTTTAATATAATATAAATAATGTACGATAAAGTAAAATAACTTTTTTTCCCTCAAAAAGTTTTATTTTACATTTAAAAGATAATACACACCAACACCACCAAAAAGAAATCAAATACATGACATAAATTTTTTGATTAATCTGGATATTCTTCAGGACAATCATCTGCTTTACAGATAGTCTGGAGTTACCGCATTTGAACCTTCATGGCCATAAGGGGATTTTTATTTTTTCTTGGATTTGAACCTGAGACTTCTTGATACTTTTGATCTTTGGAGTCAAGCTCAAACCAATCAGGCATCACTTTTGTGGTTAAAAGAAAAGGTTTAATTGACATAAATTGAAACCTAAACATTAATAAAGGGCATTCAAAGGACAACCAGACTCGTATCACCAACTCAAACAAAATCGAAATCAATAACCGAGATATGTTTTGAACAAACAATTTGGTATTACTTTCTTTTTCCATTTGTTGAAGCAAAACTTTGTATAAACTTATTGCCATTTGAACTTTCTTTGACCTGATGGCATGTAATTAGATGACACAAATCTTTCACCGTGGCTTCTTCTTCGGATTCCGTCTTTCTATCATTTTCATATTAGGGCATGATAAGATTGCAAGACAAATTCTTTATCTTGTTCATTTTCTTTGAAAACAAAATTCCGTTAGTCTTTTAGTTACAATTTTTTCTTCGACCATTTTCAGAAATTTCTCAAACAAGTCCCCACAAAAGCACAAACCCACCCACTTCGACAACTTCGACAACGATACATAGCTTTGTTTTTAATAAAAAAAATCAAGTATTTTAAATATGAAAGGAATATTAATTTATAAATGTAGAAAGTGAATTATATTTCTTTTTTTTATTAACCTGGATATCCAACCCGCTATGCGAGCCGATTAATCCCAAGACGATCACCTGCTTTGCAGATAGCCTGGAGTCATCGCATTTGAACCTCCGTGGCCACAAGGGGATTTTTATTCCTCCTTGGATTTGAACCTGAGACCTCTTGATACTTTTGATCTTTAAAGTCAAGTTCAAACCAATCAGACACCATCTTAATCTTAATGGTGAGTGAATTATATTTCTTGAAATCTTTGTCATTGAAAGATAAATTCTTATGTCTTTGAAAAAGAAGGATTTTGAGCTCTTTTCACATGCAAATACACTTTTAACATTTGTCTCAGATACCATTCCAGAGTCTCCATCAATCAATTCCGTAGACTTTTAGACCATTGACCCATGGAACCATCCTCGCTTTTTGACGTTTTCAGATCGATCCAATTGGCCCCAAATCTGTTGTTTCCACACACAAAAATCCTATCGACTCCATAAATTTCAACTCCCATTTAGCTTTTAGGGTTTGTGGAACACAGTTTCTTCAGAAATCACAGTGAATTTGGGGAAAAGAAATATGCGATGAACCTGGACGGGATTCGAGCTTGATTTTCATAAATGGTAAAATATTATTCTCTTTTTCTTTGTTCATTGAATAGGGTTTCTTTTAATGGATTATTTTATTGTAAATATGAGATCACATGAACCATCAGTTGTGCTTTGGTGGATATCTAATTCTAGGGTTCTCATAGGATACCCTCACAAACAACCCCTAATCTAGATAACCCGACTAATCTCAGAACGACCACTGTCCGGAGTCACCGCATTTAAATCTCTGTGGTTTTTTATTATTCCTTAGATTTGAACCTGGAATCTTCTGTCACTTTTGACCTTTGAAGCTCAAACTCAAATCAATCAAACAACACCCTTGTGATTTACATCCCCCTTATTCGGATTCTGATTGCTTATAACTTTCACTTGGTTTTTTTTCTCGATTAATCTCATAAGGAAACCTATAAGAAAGAATTTAAGGCCGAGTTTTTATTCATGATCCTTGGTAGTTTTGGGAAATTGATTTAATTATTTTCATTTAACTACAACTAATTATAAGTAAACACACAAGACTTTGAAAGCGTTTTTGGATCAAAATCAATATCTTTTATTGTAAAAAACAAGCAAATTTAAAAATTGTTGTACAGTTGAATTATTCTTTTAGATAAAGCACATAGACCAATATATCACATCATAAAATGGAATCGAGGGATGAAATATATGTGGAACAAATGATTTTTGTGGCATATTTGTATATTTTACTGTAATCAAATTATGAATGGGTCAAATATGTCTTAGGGGCCGTTTACTTAAATGAATACCGTTAAGAATCAACACTGTAATTTATTTTATCGGGTAAGATTGTAGTACATCAAAACGTATTTTATGTAAAAATTTACCTGGTAAGCACTTACCCGGGTAAGAATCGTCACCTTCACTTACCGGGTAAGACTCTTAGTTCTTATCATCGCTCTTACCGGATAAGTTATTGTCCATTGCCATGTTCATCCGATAAAAAAAATTGTCCAATAAGTACTTACCGGACAAGCGTTTAATAAACGACCCCTTACATTTATTGGGTACCTTATTTTAGTTGACCAAATTAAGTGTGTATGGTATTGAGGTAAGGGGGACCCTTCATACCATTTGTAGGCATATATATTGAGATACAACCACTATGAATGGTGGTCATGGAAGCAATATGTATGGTATGGTGTACGAATCTAGGAAAAGCCAAACACATCTTTGCTCAAAATAAGTACAATTTCTCGAAGCTATAAAAATCTCTTGTGGGCCCATTTAATTCAAATTATCGTGTTATTTTATTCATTTAAAATATTTAAATATAACTGTTCATGTTAGAAAACTTTTACGTGTATTTATATACTGTTAACTTAACGAATGATATAACGAGTAACTGATAGATGGTAAAGAAAATTTAGATGTGAAGAGATGGATTAGTGATTGGAAAGGCACGTATACCTCTTCTCGGAACGGAAATTCTCAAATCCAAATTAAGAAATGTTACAACGTTGACAGCATTAGATGCGTTCAACTTTAATTGCATGGCGTACAAATTTGACTGCATGATGTACAACCATCAATGCATAACTTTCGTGGCATTACGAACAACTTTCATGTTGTATGGCCTACCTACAGTTTTCATTGCACGCTATACAACTTTAGTAGCACAGTGTACACTTATATTTAAAGTAACGTGTTCTTAGCCATCAAAATTGATTGTTTTGGTCTCTTATACTTTAAAAGTAGGAATTAGTTTAAAGACGAAAATAACAATAAATTATAAATCATAGAGTCGAAAATCAAAAAATTTAAACTTGTAATTGCTCTTATCTATATTATATTATAAAGCATTTGGCGAAAACTCTTAAAAACTACTTTTTATGCATGAAGTACTGTTTATTGATGCATATTACTTAAAATTCAAGATTTCAAGTAGATTGTGCTTAAGTACAACTTATTAAAGCTCTATCTTTGAATTCTTGTAACTAACTACAGATAAACATAATCAAATACAGGATAAACATCTCATTTTAAATATAATTAAGATAATCATTAAATTCTAACATAATACTTAATTATACCAAAACACAAGAACTTTTGAAAAGACTAGAAAAGTACTCGTGCAATGCAGCGAGACACATTTCAATTTTAATGTTCTATTTTATTATTTGTCTATGTCGATGTTATAATACGATTTTATTTGTTTTTAAGAAAAGCAATAATGATTTTATTTTTGAATAAAATATAAATTTGAATATATCATAAAAATTTGAAAAAAAAATATATCAATATTAATGTCAAATCAATTATTTAAAAGTTCTTATTTTTTATATAATTTATTTAATTTATTTTTTTATTATAATTTAATTTAAGTTTAATAATGAAATAATTTATTTTTGGTTCAATAATATAATATTTTATAAAGATAATAATTAAGTATTATGTTGGAACTCAATGATTATCGTAATTATATTTTAGATTTTGTATATTTAAAATAAAATATTTATCCTGTATTTGATTATGTTTATCTGCAGTTAGTTACACGAATTCAGATATGGAGCTTTAATGAGTTGTACTTACGCACAATCTACTTGCAATCTTGAGTTTTAAGTTATATGCATTAATAAACAGTACTTTACGCATAAATAGTGGTTTTTAAAAGTTTTTGTCAAATGTTTTATAATATAGTATAGATTAATTTGATAATGATATCGATATATTTTTTTCAACAATTTTTAATACATTTTTAAATTTATATTTTATTTAAAAATAAAAACATTATCTTTTTCTCAAAAACACATAAAACCGTATTATATCAAACACAAAAAGAGAATAAAATAAAACACTGAAATCAAGATATATCTCGATTAATTCCACGAGTACCCTTAGATTAGGGAATTATATCCTCCGAGCTGAGAAATGGAATTTGTTCTATTAATTAATTTCACCAATTTGTATCAATCACAAGCCCTATTTTTATAAATTTTAGTATCTTAATGGTATAACTTGCCGGATTTAGCATCAAACTCCAAACCACATACCAACAAAATACCATTTTCTGTAAGATTTCTATAATTAATATCAAATTGATCGATGAACAACGATTAATTAACATTCGCCTTTTCGACTCCCGTTAGGCCGTAAATTATTTCCGCACAATGCTCATCAACCGAAACTTTGAAACTTTTCCGGTTGCATGAACTAAAGGTTTCGAATTCAAATAGATAAGCATGCATACGACCTTTTACTTGTTTCAAAATAAGCAGGCATATAATCTCTGTTATATTCTGTCCAGTGTACAAAACGAACCAATATTATCAAATATTTTTTTGAAACAAATGCAATAATTTTGGTCCATGTTTTGACTTTTGTGGTTCAAAAGTCGTTTTTGGGAGCTTGAACTGTTCATGGATATTAAATAATACCTCAAAGATCATTATTATCATGAAAACGATCTTTTAGAAACCAAACAAGATTAAACAGCTACACTCGACAGGTAGCTGTTTGGATTGGTGTCATATGCAACCAAACCATCACATTCATTGAGTTCATCACCAAATAACACAAGACATAATGATCGTTTTCGTCATAACCGCTAATTTTCTACCATCGGAATACGACTGTTTGTCCATAAAAATCAAAACCGAGACCATAGAAGAACAATGAACTAAGAAGGAACTTAGCTCGAATTCTCTCATTGTGTTGGAATGAGATAATTTGGAGGGAATTATCTATTAAGTACAAGTAATTAGCATTAAGCACTTTCCATATTTGTTGATCAACACAGAAAACTTCCTTGATCTATACCGTAATTCTTAACATATAGCGCTACGGTGGCCTTACGATGGTCGACACACAAAAGGGCGTCTTAACATGATTTTAATGCCAATTTTCGTCGGTTTATCTCTTAACGACCAGTTAACAACAAAAGACTTTGGTTTTCCCTCCAACTTCTTGTTTTTCCTTCTTCTTTTCTGATGAACAATGATGATCATTAGAAACTTTGCAGGATTGCTGCTTTCACAGTTTTGAGTTAAGGGTATCGATCCCACGAAGAAAATCAGTCGGTATTCGTATTTTTGTTTTCGTGCTGTTTTATTTTCTATCAGTCTTGGTCAAAGATTAGACATGATTTTAGTTCGAGTTTCTACAAAGAAGATCATAGTAGACTTTTCTTTCTTTGAGATCCAAAAGTTTGACCTGTAATGTCGTTATTAGAACTCATATATATAATCTTGAAGTCTCATCTTTCCCAATGTCCATCTACGCTTTGCTTTCCATAATTAGAAAGCATTTTCTGGGATTTATGGATTCGATCTTCTGATTTACAGTATGTAATGCCAAATGATGATGCACTTTTGGGCCCTATTAAGTTGATGATGATATATATTTGTGTGTTTCTGATATTGACTTCATTTCATTTTTGGTGAAAAACAGTTAAATTGGTTGATCATCGCGCGACAAGGGTCTTGAAATGGATACGAGACGTTTGACTTCCTCCGATAGTCATGGACCGAATGTACCTTACATACATAAGGTTGGCATCCCTCCGAAACAAAGTCTCTTGAAGGAGTTCAAATCTACGGTGAAAGAAACGTTTTTCTCAGATGATCCTCTACGACCGTTCAAAGATCAACCAAAATCTAGAAAAATCGTGCTTGGTCTACAAGCGGTTTTCCCGATTCTTGAATGGGGAAGAAGCTATAATCTAAGAAAGTTCAGAGGTGATCTTATTGCTGGACTAACAATTGCTAGTCTGTGTATTCCACAGGTAGATTAGAGTTAGATATTCAAGATTCTTATATGATTACAATTAGGAACACAAACTAGTTATATCTGATCATTTTCTACGCGTAAATTCATTACAGGATATCGGGTATTCAAAACTTGCGAATTTACCTCCACAATATGGATTGTGTAAGCATTTTCTCCTAGACTGGTTTTATAGTCCGAATCGCTCCATATCTAACTTGTTTGAATTTTGTGTAGACTCGAGCTTTGTTCCACCTCTAATTTACGCGTTTATGGGTAGCTCACGAGATATAGCCATAGGACCTGTGGCCGTGGTCTCTTTGTTGTTGGGTACGCTTCTTCGGAAAGAATATGATCCAGATAAGGAAAAAAGTGAATATCTTAGGCTTGTATTTACATCTACATTCTTTGCTGGGATCACTCAAGCTACTCTTGGAGTTCTCAGGTATCCAAAAAACATTAATTTTCTTTTATTTGATCGAAAACAGACTTTTCTAACGATAATTTTCTGGTCCAGACTCGGGTTTCTAATAGATTTCCTATCGCATGCTGCTGTCGTTGGTTTTATGGCTGGAGCTGCCATCACCATTGCCCTTCAACAACTCAAGGGATTTCTTGGCATTAAACATTTCACTAAGGAAACTGATATCATATCAGTAATGAAGTCGGTTTTTGGATCCGTTCATCACGGGGTGAGTTTGTAACTTATTATCGCCAGCCGTCTACGCTTTCCTGAAGCTTATATATTAACGATCTCTTTAATGAATTTTGCAGTGGAACTGGCAGACAATAGTCATCGGAGCAAGTTTTTTGACGTTCCTACTTGTCGCCAAGTACATTGTAAGTCGTCACCATTCCTCGAATCATAAAACAAAAAATCTGAAGAAAGATTATCGGTCAGAGTCCCATCTTCGCTAGATTTGGACCATTTCTCCTTCACTCCTAAGGGGCTCTTTCGAAGGGTAATCTAGGGGTTCCACGTGTATTTTGACATAAATATGAAAAAGGAGAAAGAGCAAGATTTTTGTACTGATTTCTGATGATCTTGATCTACTAGTTCTAAATATTGCACCATTGTGAAACAGGGAAAGAAGAACAAGAAGCTCTTTTGGGTGCCTGCAATTGCACCATTGATCTCGGTTGTTCTATCGACTTTTTTCGTGTACATTACCCATGCCAAACAGGATGGTGTTGCAATCGTAAGAACAATATGTCCACATCCGATGTCAACTAATTACCTGCTTTCAATTTCATAAACTAATTCCCGAATTTCGTTTGGCAGGTGGGACGGATTGAGAAAAGAATCAACCCTCCTTCGCTTGACAAAATCTATTTCTCCGGTGAAAATCTACTAAAAGGATTCAGAATCGGCGCAGTGGCTGGCATGATAGCGTTAACGGTTAACTTCTAGCTCGTAAAACAGTCTTTTAAGAATCATATTGTGTTTCGTTACTTCATCCAAGATTGTTCCTTGATCTATCAGGAAGCTGTTGCAATTGGGAGAACGTTTGCTTCGATGAAAGATTATCAAGTAGATGGAAACAAAGAAATGGTGGCACTCGGAACTATGAACGTCATCGGCTCAATGACTTCGTGCTATGTTGCAACCGGTACGATTTTCTGTAAATTACTCAAATTTCAAGTCTTTAAAGCTAATAGTTTATACCCTCTTCAGGTTCGTTCTCGCGATCAGCTGTAAATTATATGGCAGGATGCCAAACCGCAGTTTCGAACATTGTGATGTCTTTTGTAGTGTTCTTGACTGTGAAATTTCTAACTCCTCTTTTCGAGTACACCCCCAATGCGATTCTATCTTCCATTATTATATCTGCTGTCATTGGGCTGATCGATTTCGATGCTGCCATTTTGATCTGGAAAATCGACAAACTTGATTTCATGGCATGTATGGGAGCGTTTCTTGGCGTGGTTTTCAAATCGGTCGAGACTGGTCTTTTGATTGCTGTAAGGATCACACCATCTTGATCCTTTTTCTGAAGTTTTGGGCGACTTTTTAGCTGGGTTGTGATCTTTATTTTGTTGAAATAGGTTGCTTTATCTTTAGCTAAGATTCTTCTTCAAGTTACGAGACCACGAACTGCGATCCTTGGAAAGATTCCAATGACGACCGTGTACAGGAACATCGGACAATACCCGGAAGCGACTAAAGTTCCTGGTGTTCTGATTGTAAGAGTTGATTCTGCTATCTACTTCTCCAACTCCAACTACACCAAAGAAAGGTAATATTTTTGTTCATTAATTTTTACTGTTAAAGAACACGTGTTGGAGTCCCATATCGGCTAGATTTTGACTATTTCTTCTCGATATATATTGGAACCTTCATTGGATGATTTAGAAGCTCTAAATCGAGGACTTTTTGCAGGATATTGAGATGGCTAACCGATGAAGAAGATAATCTAAAAGAAACATACCAACCAAAGATTGAATTCTTGATAGTTGAAATGTCACGTAAGAAGTTCGATTTCCTGCAATTCCGTTCTTGTTTTCCCGGTTCCAGTCTTTCCAATCTTTCGTCTTATATCTTGTTGGCTTGTTGCAGCCGTTACCGACATCGACACCAGCGGAATTCATGCCTTCGAAGAGTTGCACAGGAGTCTGCAAAAGAGAGAGATTCAGGTAAACTAAAACTTCTATCCAATTGCTAAATGTTCCACAACAATGCACTCGACCGATCTAAAGAAGTTAGAAAACTCCATTGATCTACAGCTTGTTCTTGCGAACCCGGGCCAAGGTGTGCTGGACAAGCTATACGCATCAGGTTTCCCTGACTTGATTGGCGAAAACAAGATCTTTCTGACCGTTGCAGACGCGGTTCACACGTGTTCACCGAAGATGGTTCACGAGGTCTGATCTATTTCGTGATGAAAGTAGAAAAAAGATTTACGCAGATAAAAAGTTCAAATGGTACCGAAATAAGGCTACACGAGTCCGTTATAGTTGTGGGATAGAGTCGAAAAATCGGACATTAGATGGTGAAAGTACATCTCTGTAGATTTTCGAAGACAGTAATACTGTTTTGATTTTGTTTATAGATGTAACGACTAACGACTGCGGTTCGAGTTCATATATACAAAGAGAAGGGTATATGAAAGAAAATATTCTCGTTCGGTGTCATACGATGTCGCAATCTAAGTCTTGCGTTTTTAATAGCTCTTATCAGATATAATGTCATCATCAACCTCGCGTATTTCTGAATCATGGAACCTAAATACCGAAAACTGTCCTTTTGTGTTACCATTTACCTTGAAAACTCAACTCAAATCTTGTCTCTTTGTTCCAATGTTGATGCCTACTATCTGTTTACATACAAGCCAAGGGATCTTAAAATGCATATATCTATCTTTAAATATATCTGCATTCGAGAACGAAATCATAGCGAAAAATGTGTCTGGACATCATCAAGCGGATACTGCTACGGAAAGAGAAGGCAAAGATGAAGAAGCGAATGAAAGAGAAAGTGAAACACGAAAAGGATAAACGGAAGAAAAGCGAAGAACTCGAGAGAAAGAAGAAGAAAGAAACAAAAGCGAAGATCAAAGGAAAGCAACAAAAAGCGAAAGCTGAAAAGCAAAGAGAACGACACGAAGAGAAGAAACGTCGAGAAAAGAAAAGAGTAGCCGAAGAACACGAACATAATAAGAGAAAACAACAGAACAAGAAAAAGATGGAAAAGAAAAGCAAATGTTTCAACATATGATTCTCGGTAAATATATGATGTACGTAAAAACCATTCAACTTTCTCATTTTGAATCTTTAAGTTATTAATTAATCATCAAACATATTAGGGTTGTTCATCAATTGACATCTGATATATAGATGTGATGGGAACCGAACCGAACCGATCCAATCATTAATTGGACGTTGGATTTTTCCAACTTATCCAATCCAATTAACATTGGATAACCGATCTAATCCCATCTAATGGAATTGGGTCGGATTGGATCCAACCATCGACGGTCGGTTCTAATTGGATCGGTTTATACAGTAAAAATAAACAATAGTGTATACATGATATGATAGAAATTAATGTGATTGTAGCTTACAAATTATGAAGAAAAATAAATATTCTGAATATGCAAACTGCCCTCAAACTATATCTTTATAAATACCTATTTTTTATGTACACTGCTTCAAGTGCTTTTCCGGTCGCCGGCAAATAAACAAAGAATCTGATTATTCCTTATTATTCTACTCGATTACCCGCCGGAGTTCTTCGATTAATTTACTTTTGGTCGCCGGATCCATCTGCATCATAACAATCGAAACAACATTACAACACAATCGGAGTTCTAGTAATCGAGAAAAATGATGGTTTACCTCTTGCAAAAGTGCAGCCAGGCCCTGTGGTAACGCTTTTAGAGCCGACGCTGAACTACCCATCTTCGATAATTGGTTCGAGACCTTCTGCACACAAAGCTCGGCTAACTTATCGTTGTAATTTGAGGGATCGTCTTTCCAAGCGAAAAAAGCATCGTCGTTGAGCCAAAGATCTTCGCTTTTGGAGTCGGAAAACCATTTCTTGATCATGTCGTTAGCGGACTTGTAGGAAAGGGTGTCTCCAGCCGCATCTCGTGCACTACTGATGAGAGAAGCCTCGGATAACCTACGACGTAGCCTTTTGTAGAAGAAAAACCGAGAAATTTTCCAGTCGACGACCTCTTTCACGACACCTTTTGCAGCCATTCGGAATGATGTGTCGTGAAGTTCGGCAAATTTGGTAGCGATTTGAGTGTAGATGGGTAGAAGTTGTTTCTCGCGGGATTTTATTTGTTGGACGATTGTTTGATCGTACTTCGTTTCTTGAAGTTTTTCTTTCAGATTTCGAAGGTGTGGGTCGAGTCGACTCATACAGTCTAACAACTCTTTGTTTCGGAACTTGATTTCGATCATCCCTTCAGGCTCGAGAACGTTTCCTTTGGCTGTCGTTTCTGCATACATTTCTATATGATCCGAGTTGATTCGACTGTCGACAACCACCCATGCACCGCCTCGCAGCTCGCCGGTTTTCGGGATGTAAACGAAAACCGGCTGATTATACGTTCTAAGATTCTCTACAATCGTCGATCCCGCTTGTAAAATCCCTTCGAAAAGGTCTCGTTGACCAGCGGAAAAGCCTCGCCAGTTTGCCATGATGAAAAGCGGGAGCTCTTCTCGGTTGAAATCCATCAACGCCTGAGCCGTCTTACTCGCGGAATCCGGGAACCAAACCTGTCCGGCTTGTGGGACTACCCGTTCGTGTGAATCAAGCTGACCGGGATCCGCGGGTATAACTTGCATCATCGTTTGTGTCTCGACTGCAACGATTCCGACCGGAATCCCGCCAAGTTTCGCACGACCGGTAACCACCGTCCTCGCCCAACCTTCCAACGTCTCGATAAAACTGTTTCGATCAAAAATCCCACCTAACCATTCACCATTACCGCCCGGGGTCCCACAAATGGCTGCCCGAGGATCACATGAGTTTTCAGGTAGGTACTCAACAGACCTTTCGGGCGGATCCACGGGTGCCAAAACAGGAAGCGGACCACCAACATGAGGCGGAACAAAGCTCAACCAATTCAAGATAGCCGAGATGCCTTCGAGATCATCGGAGACAGTTAGATGAACGACACCATTTGTCGCCATAATTTTCGGTCCACCAAGTTGCATTTGCGAGCTATACACCTCTCGTCCCAAAAGCTTGTTTAGCGCAGAAAATCCAGTCAAGATAATTGGCTGATCGAGACGCTGTATGCACCGCATTCCAAGACGGGCAAGATATGCGCCTATACCGACCGTTCTTCCCGTCACATACGTTAATGTAAAAGTTTCCTTGTAAGCCTTTGAATATGCCCCAGCAATCGCCCCACTCCCACTCAAATTCTCAACCCCTAATCCATCCTCTTTTCCCACAATCGTATCGATGATCCATCTTGCTTCACCACTCGAGAGACAAACTTCGTGCGCTATTACAGACGATTTGATACGAGCATAATCTTCGGGTGTTAGATACAAATACTGGAACCCACTATCAGTGTTCGACTCATCAGACCACCCAATTTTAAAGCAAGATCTGACCTCCTCGGCAGCCCCAATCCGTGCCCCCGAGTTTGCCGCCAAGTAGATGAGTGGCAGCTTCTTGGCGCAAGCGAGATCAGTCACGGCCTCAAAGAATGCATCCTCAAGAGGACCAAAAGATCCGTTTCTAAACGTAACATCATTTGCAACCACCAAAATAACCCTTCCATCAGGGAACTCTGGAGTGCAGAGCTCCATGGTCCACGCCACCATACCCACATTGTTCTGGGCCGGCTCGCGGTTTACAGGGACCAGCGGTGTACCCCATGAGCCTCTCTGGTCAGCAAACACGAGCTCGGTCACGTTTACAAGTTTCCCCTTGGGCCTGCTATCAGCCGGAAGTCTCGATGACCAGACTTTCTCGAGAGCTGCCTCAAATGCCTGCAGATACAAGTTCATTACTTTCAAGTTTCTGTTACTTCCAATTCAATCCAAAACTAGAAAGGAGTAAACGGTAAGTTCACCAGTCCAAAGTCGTAGCAGTAAGTAGTATTGCTCTTCCTGGCTAAAAGACGTTTCTGATCAAGTAATCCCAAAGGCTGAAAGGGTGTGTTCACGGGTACGCCATGTAAAGGGCCTGGTGTAGACGTGGCGTGATAGACTACCTTGTGTTTGCCAGAATCCTCCAGTTCCCGATACACCTGAATGAAAATTGCAACAATCGGTTTGTTGTTGAAATGTCTAGAATACCCTTTGATCGTGAAAATGTGTAACTCACGGACTTACATGTACAATGCAGGTATGACCAGTGACATTCGTGACCACAACCCTCCATGCACCGTTGGCTTGACCAGAAGAGACCATGCAAAGCTTCACCTCCCACTCAAAAACGCCTAATCGGTGCATCTTTACACCAACCAACGTGTGAATTTCGCAAGCCAACTTCACCAAAAGTGTCTCGACTGCAGCTTCTTCTTTCCCGCCATCTACATCTATTCTCCTGCTGACAACTTGTGAGCGTTACAAAATGATCCACACATCTACTTATTAAGGCTATGTTTGGCAAACTAGTTGATAAGCTAGTTTTTAGCTAATAAGCTAGGTTTTAATGACCTAAAAGGACTTTGTAAATAATATAAGGGGCAGAATTGAAACAAAGTGGAATAAAGCCCCTGGAGATTATTGAAACGCCACTTGAAATAGTATTTCAAAAAGCTAGAGTATGGCTAACCAAAAGGGGCTTTTTCAATAAGCTGAAAATATAAGCTAGCATACGGTTGCCAAACATGGCCTAAGTTTAACCAGGATCAGGCCATTGAAGAGAACGGCAATACTTACCTCGAGTATGGAATAAGATCATCTAGTTGTTGTTCCTTCAATATATAGAGGTACATATGAGCATGGTCAGACTTGACAGTAGCGTTATGAACATGAAGTTCGAGCTCCTCCATAGCTGTCACCAACGATCTCAAGATGCTCCTTGATGTAAAAGACAAAGTCCATTGAGACTCCGGGCCTGCAATGTCGGAACCTTGGTATCCTGAGAACCATTCCTTTGTTGGTTGCCTAACAAGCGTTCTAAGAAACATTCTCTGAATCGGAAGTGGCTTAGCTTCAACGGTATACATGTGCCATTGCCGATCACGTGATGGAGTGTACTTTATATGCTCATACTCCTTAAGTTTGTCCTGAACAACAAAAGGTTTACAATACTTAAAATATGCTTGGGTTGCATTTTCACAATAACTTTACGGCAAATTATAGCTAAAACGGCCATTAAAGCGGAATGTTCCATATTAGGATGAATTAGAACACAATGAAGGGTCTTATGAGTACAAACCAGTTCAAGGTAGATCGACAATGGAGGCTCTAGGTGACGCAAAAGTGGCTCTTCAACGTAGTAATGATTCTCTTCCGACCAATGAAACGAGTGCCTCATTGGGCCTCTCCCTTCATCTCTCTGTATTATACAGCTGATAACTCCATACCCTGCGTTTTTTAGACTCGAACTTACTTCTTTATCTTTCAGTATTTTTGCTAACCGGTTGACTCTCTCTTGAGCCTGATCCTCATCACCACTGCAGTTTATCATTAACCAAACATCATTCAGTTAAACCAAACGAATCCAGTATATCCCACCTAGAGGTGGGGTCCCCAGGGGTGGGGGGTGTACACGGACTTGGCCTCGACCCCAGAGAGTACCCGGAGGTGGGGTCTGGGAGGGGTAAGATGTACGCATACCTGACCTCTACCTCAAAGAGTAGAGAGGCTTTTATTTGTGAACTATCACATACCTATCTTGAAGCAAACTCATCTGGTTGTTGATCCCGGCCAATGCAATATGCATCATATTACCATGGTTACTAGGATCAGCGAACCCATTTTGACTTGTGCCATGAGAGTTATGAGTTGTTTCTTTAAGAGCAGCACTTATTACATCGGGCAAAAATTGCAGAGATTTTATAATAACCATAGCTCCCCATTTCTTGTCAACCAAGGGCTGTTCGGTCATTTCATAGTCGGAGGTATTCGCTTCCTCAATATGCCCTTCCATGAACTGCCACGAAGCAATAAGACCAGATCTGTGCCACTGCATTCTAACACTCCCCTTTGCAAGATACGGCTGATAACAGATACGAAGTGTTTGGTCAGTAGAATTAGAAATGCAAAATTGACACTGAAATAGCAAATTTGGACTCTGCTTACAGAATGGGACTCTATTTTGTTTCGATTAGGAAATCAATCCTACCTGATATAGTCTTCGAACATAGGTCTCAACAACACGCCTTTGAAGGGTGTGATCAATATGGTCAAAAAGACCGACAAGGGCATCTTCGACTGCCAGTGGAGCGCTCACGATATCCTCCATCCTTTCGTTAATGGCACTCTTCCTCTTAGGGGTATCCATATTTTCACCTTCTTCAGTGAACATCTCTAACTCAGAAAGACTTCTAGCAATGCTTGAACGAAGCTCACTTAGTCTGGTCTGTTCTAGCAATTGACTTGCCTTCAACGCTAACTATAAATGATAATCAAGAAGCGCAAATTAGTTTGGCAATAAAATAAACAGTTTGGGGAAAGATCAAACTTGTATGAGTATGTTAAATGACAATTCTGACCTCAGAATAATTCAAGTGGTTGAGTATAGAAAACCTTATAAGCTTATCCCTATAAGCAGCCGGATTAGGATACACCAAATGCTCCATCAGTCGTAGTATCAGCTTGTTTTTACTCCTAACACCCTGTGTGCTCTTGACTGTTGGTCATTTAAATTAAACATAAAAAGTGGAAAAAGGAACCAAAAAAGACCAAGTATACCTGATGAGAAAGCACGATGTCAACAACCCTCAAGAGATCTTTCTTGTATTGCAGTCGAAGTCGTTCGATTACATCAGCCTGAAAAGGAAAAGCTTTAATTTTAATATATATATATATATAAGTGTGTGTGTGTGTATGAATTTTCAAGTGTAAAAAAGTGGTCTCACGAAAACAGGCTGGTCTCACGTGATCTCAAATCTGTACTATATATATTATATATATAATTCACCTGAATGTTGTCGCTAAATAACTCTTCAACGGATAAATACTCTTCAAAAAGAGCTTGAACAATCCCACGTGCATGACTCTCTCTACCACCTTCATATGACTTAACAAGACTCATTAACGGCTCAATGAGCCTTTCTTGGGCGCCTTTTTCCTTTCCTGAGCAAGATCCGAGGTGGGTCTGCCAAAACATTACAAAAGCATCGTACGAATAAATTACATATTTTAAATATGAAAAAGGAATTCATAAAGACAACTATTGATCACAAACTAACTTCTAGAATGCTCCTTAAAACTTTGGCAGGGAAGTCGATGGTTTGTTGGTTAGAAATCCCTTCGTACTCCTTAAACTTTGATTCCAACTGAATATACAAAATATACTGAATTAGAAAGATATGTTCCAACGCTGAATTTTGACAGAAAAGGAAGATAATAATAGCAGATGTGAATTTGCCTTGTATCTTAGATCTTTAGGAAGTCGGTTTGCTAGAACCGCAAAGCATTCTTGCCATTGAAGGAAAGGGAGCTCAGGACTATCTAGACAACGGAGCAGGTTTTGCACAACCTACAATCAAAGATTAAACTTGTTAACTATATACCAAAAAATTAGAGACATGTTAATCTTTGAAGGATAAAGTTGTGATAAGTTGATCAAGAAAAATTCACATGGGATCTTAAACTTACGTCATCAATGTCGTGATCATAGCCTGCAAGAATCATCCGAGCAGCACTTAGAGTTGCCGCACATTTCTGATGAACCTTGTCCGATATTGCAGTTGGAGGGCCAAGAACAGGAAAGCTCCCATGAAAAGGCTCTGCTTTTCTTACAGCTGATGGATCGTCAAGATCAAGCCTTGCTATAAGTTCGCCAGCCTATAAAATGAAGAATTTTCTTACTCAGTATAAATACATTGTGGTAGATTTTATTGAAAATTTTTGAGCTATTACAACTGAAATTCGATTTTTAACAACACCCGTTAAGTTGGCTAAAACTGATGCTGTGAGAAATTTTAGAGTTATTCGACTTCTCTACCTATCGTACTTGGCTTCCCGTTGCAACCAAACCATCTTGCTTGCAAAAAAAAATATTTGCAAGAATGAGCAATATTGGACAAAAGGTGTCAAGTATGATTCCATAATTTGTACAAAATTGCTCATTTTCACAATCTATATTGTTTGTGGAATTTTCACAAGAACAATGATTAGGTTGCAATGAGAGGCCGAGCACGATGGTTCAAAAAGTTTATTTGTAAAACAAATAATCAAGAAAAGATGTGAACTTATCGGATTTTTCTCGGATGTTAAATAGAACGACAGTAAATCATTATCAATACATTAAAAATCAATTGGCTTATGTAATTTAGATGGAGGGTGTTATTTTGGGTAAAAAATGTGGAAAGGCTAACCTGCATTGCTTGACCTTCGGACAGCTTAAAGTGTATGACTCCAGAAGCTGGTGAAAGAAGAGGCATACACATCTTCATAACCTCGACCTCAGCATAAGGTGTGTCAGCATCAACATGGCTACCATCTGAGACTAAGTATCGTAGAAGCTTGCAGGGTGTTTCCGCCACCAACTTGGAAGGATCATGATCATTCTAGAAAGAAGTAATTCAAATTTAGCAGCAAAATCATACATAATATTTCCTTGATACCGAAATGAATGTCCACAATGAAAAAGACAGTTTAGAAATGTGTAATTATTAAACTTTTTAATTAACTAAATGACAAATTTACCCTTAATAATAGAGGGAATATCAAATTTCTCTATCCGAGAACAAAGGGTAGAATTGGAAAGTAGCCACTTGCTTTTGAAAGTGGACACTTATTTTGGGACATACTTTAATAGAAAGGTTAAGGAGGTTGTCGGCACCTGAAGCAAGCAAGTTCTTCCATCAATCAAAAGGCGAGTACCAGCCGCTTCTTCCTCTGCATATATAATATGACTATTCCCATCCAACTACAATATTGAATCAACCAATCATAAATTATATGTTACGGACTTATAACACAAGAATGTGTAATTACATGTAAGAGATATGCATAGTTGTCAAAAACCGTATCTTTTGATTCGATTCGTGAAGCAAACTATGTATCCCATAAACAAATAATCCACTCTGAATCGCAGTTGTATTGGCAATTCACCACCGCGTGTGATTCTGTTAAATATAGCAAGTAACTAAAAAATGTAGTTTTAATGCTTAATGATTCATTAAATTATTATAGCGATTCTCAATATGATTCCCAAATTGACAAAATAAACTGAATAGACAATAAATGGAACATATGATTTGCCTACCTGCATCAATAAACCCCCGTCACGTAGCGTATGTATCTCTGCTTCAACCTCAGATTGATTCATCCTCAACCTATAACTTCCTGGCCCTCTTTTTACCATATCAATCTAAGGAAAAAAATGCATGAATCAGACGAAGATCAAAGAAATCCAAGGACAGTAGCTATTTATGTTGTTACTTACTGTGTATCTGCTGCCTTCAATGTTTAAAGAAACTTGGGAGTTGACCAATGATATGTGCTGCAAGTAGAGGAATGCCAATCAGTAAAGCTTACTTAACGAAATTTAACCGAATTTTAAAATGGTCAAACGCATGGTACCTTAGGAGGGATTTGCCCCTTTTCAAGATAACCAACATAGTCCGAGACCATGGCTGCACTTCTAGCAGCGGCTTTCTGAGGTTGACAAAATTGAGTGGTAAGTGAAAGTACTTGAAAAGATGACGAATATAGAAACCGAAAGATGATAGTATAAGGGTACTAACGTAAAGAGCTCCCCCGACTACAGAAAGATACCAAGGGGGCCTTTCTGCTCTAACCCGCATCGCGATTCTGCTGTCTAACCAACCTGTATGTATTCTGTTTTCTCTATAATCTGGAGCCTGCAATAGCATTTTACATATATCAAATTCCATCTGATTTTAGTAACAGGCAAACGTAATACACTACAGCTCCTCGTTTTTGAGAGGATATGAAATCAAACCCACTCATGAAGGAGTAGCCTTGTTAATTGCTCCATGGCTCTCCCCTTCTATCCCATTAAAGCAATTGGTTAAATTGAATAAATTCAAAAAGATTGTATTTTGAACTCCCAAAATGCTCACATGTAATAGATCAATTGTATAATCAACATTAGTACGAATTTCACCACGAATTTGAATTTCCTTCAGCCCAAGAACCATATTTGCAATAGCCAATGTTCTAGACTCTCCAAATGCGAAAACATGACCTGAGGTATATACAAACATAAAAAACATGAGCTTTTTGGCACCAGTTAACGCACATATACATATACATATTGCATATTTTAGAAAGAATCTTGTAAAGTCAACTTGGCTAATGATTGCCTATTCGAACATTTAGAAAACAAAACAAGATTCAGTTCACAATAGTTTATGAAGCTGCTTCTTACCAAATTGAGAATCTGAGAATTCATGAATGCCTCCTCCTGACTGCAATTTTCAAGGTGTTCGCAATCAAAAATCTAGTTTCACAATCAAGAAGTAATATCAAAATATAATTTGAAAACCAGCATACCTTGACAGAAAAGTACGCCCACACATTTGGTTTGCTTTTAAAACTTAGCTCCTAAAAAGTGTAATTCAAATCAAAATGTTAAAGCATGCATAGAATTTATTTCTTTTCAGGGTACGTTATCAGAATAATCCATTCTCAAACCTGAACTTTCCCACTAGTGGGCTTAAAACCATCATCCGGATCTTCACTTGTTACACGTACAGCAACACAATGACCCTTTGGTCTAGTTGACTCTGCCTTATCAAAGTCGAACGGGGTTGCAAGTTCTGATGTTCTCCTCCAAGCGTCGTAGCCTCCACTGTTTTCCATTCCGTAGAACCGTCTTATTTCTAACCAAGAAGGCATGAATATAAGAGCACTTAGAAAAGAAAAGTGTAAATAGAAAATAGCTTTAAATGAAAACCGTAAATAGAAACCAGCATTGACCTAGTGGATTAACTTTTCAAACCACTGGACTTGCCTTTTGATTGCAAAAATACCAAAAAGACACTAGCTTCCAAGAGTGATTATACATCTAGAAAGGATCCATCTTTCTTGCAAAAATGAGTGAATTTGAACAAGAACTGCCAAGTGCATTGTCCATTCTTGCACTTACATTTCCACATTTTGTCCAAAGCCGCTATTTTTTGAAAATTATGGTGTTTTTTAGCATTGTCACGATGGTTAGTTTGTAGAGAAAAGTAAAGTATAATGGTACAAAAATTCAACTACCCCTTTCAGTTATGAATAAGTTCTGATAGATTACCTGGAATTTGCCAGAGAGGAATGCCCATTCCAACTGCAACTTGTGCTGCAGGTAGATTAATTTCCGCTATCCACTCTGTGACAGGATGCTCAACCTGAAAAAAAGTTCAACGTAGGACTATCAAGCCAAGATTAAAAAATCCCCGAGATGGTGCATATGACATAAATAGGACCCACAAAATGAAAATAAAATGATGCATGTTAGAAGCCAGGCTCCTACTAGCTTAGTTTTAGTGGTTGGTTTAAGGAGCTTGAGTCCAAGAAATTCTAGAATATCTAAAGAAGTAGACTTGAAACATCTCTTTTACGTAATCAGGAAATCATAGGATTGAGTTCACACGCACCTGTAAACGAGGGTTGAGCTCCAAAAAGTAATAATCCTCGGTTTCCATACTGTACAAATACTCTACGGTGGCAGCTCCAACATAATTCACTGATTTGGCTAATCTTCTAGCCGCTTGCTCCAGCTTCTTTATTGTTTCAGGTGGAGCTATGGTTATTGGCCCCTCCTCGATAATCTTGAGAAATAAACAAAACCCAGATTAAAAACAAGAAGAATCAAACCTAATTTGTCCACAATAACAAAAATGAATTTGGGGTATACGAGTCTCAGGCTACCTTTTGATGTCGCCTTTGAACACTGCAATCACGACTATGTAAAGCTGCTACGTTGCCATGCTGATCACAAAGTAGCTGAACCTCTAGATGTCGGCTCTATTGTCGAGAAGATATAACATGCTGTTAGGATAAGTTTTAAGTTGCAAATTACGGATCTAATAGCAATTAGAACATTCTCTGACCTGTGAAGCAACTTTCATAATGAATATGGGGGAACCAGGGACCTCACCCTGAACTTGCTTAAAAAGCGCCTTGACTTCTTCGTCATTATGCACCTAAAGTTTCAATAACAAAATTCGTGTTAATAAAAAGCTTTAAGATGGAGGGGGGAAGATTCATTTTCTCTATCCAAAACAATTTATTATTGATTTTGAAGTCAAAAACTAATCTATTGACTCTTAAAAGGTCAAGAATGGAAGTAATTTACAAATGTAAAGAAACACACCTTTCTTATGCCTTTGCCACCTCCACCCCATGATGCCTTGATCATTGCTGGATAACCGACAACTTGACAACTAGCAATTGCTTCTTCTGTTGTATGGACACAAGCTTTTCGATATATATCATCCGGAATTGTAACCAAACAGCTATTCGGAGGAATTTTTACCTATAAAATGCATTTTTTTAAAGAATAAGAGGCATAAAGATCGCTATAAAGGTATTAAAAAGACTACAAAAAAGGGCAAAACTTACATGAGAACCACTCCAAGGAAGTGTTGGCACGTCAGCAGCTTGTGCAATCAAAGAAGAACCAATTTTATCTCCAAGTGCCGCCATGGATAAAGCCGGTGGCCCAAGAAATATAATGCCCTTTGCCTCCAATGCATCTGGTAGTTCAGGGATTTCGGATGCGTGACCCCAACCGGGCCAAACAGCATCGACATGTGTTATCTCGGCTGTCTGAAATCGTTAAATGCAAATTCACCATTTTGAAGGAAATTGATATTGATCATCAAAATTAGTCCAACATGAGTAATTCACGAGAAAAAGTGTCAAGTACAATGCTCTTTGTTTGCATTTGCATTTGCATTTCCATTTCGAAGATTAGTCCAAAATCTCGTTTTCTTGCATACTATAACATTTTCCAACATTTTAAGAAGAACAACAGTTAATTTGCGACAAAAAGCCAAGTATGAAAGGTTCATAAAGTCAATCAGTCGATAGTTGTATAATTTACAAATGCAGGAATCAGGATTGATAAATAAAACCTACATACCTCTACAATAAGCTGCACATTAGCATAGTTGTTATTGTTTGTACCACCCGGGACTTCTACAAATTGATCGGCAATTCTAATATGCTCAGCATTTATCCTCATATCCTCTGGAGTAGCCATGGCTACCAATAGAATCGCTTTCTCTGAACCAAACGTTTCATAACTCCATGTCCTCACACTTCTAATAAACTTAACGGCCGCCATTCCATTGTTTGCAATTAAAATACTATGGATTGGCTTCTTTCCCCCGAGTGCATTACAAAATTCATCAATGGCAGATCTCGTTGCAGGAGACCTCAGTGAAATTGCCCCATTTAAGTACCCATTACCGTGATTGAAACTTCCATTTTGACGCATCCTTTGAGCTTCTGACATGATGACACCACCTCAAACCACTGCCAATGAGATCATTCAAGCATTACTTTGACTTTTCAGGTCAAACAACCCAGTTTTTTAAATAACTATCAGTTAATTCTACGTTTGCTGAACCAAATTCACATGTGAATTTTTTGTAGCTTAGTACACCTATGCTTTGTATTCACTCCAATCCAGAAAAAGATAGAAGTTGACAATGAACTTTTGCAGGTCAAACAGGCTATATCCGACTCAAAAACCATATGAAATCTTCGATTTTGGAGGAAAAATACAAAACTCCATTAAACTATGTATGAAGTATTGCAAAGTTATCAAACTTTGGTGCTCAAAAAATAAGAAAATGGAAATCAATTTGAATTTGAAAATTCTTATGTTTGACGTTTCAGAGTTTGATGTGGGATTCTTAAGCTACCAACACTGATCCAATCTACAAGTGATCCGTGAGATCACAAGGGTCAAAGTGCAGGAACTATTTTTCAATGCTCTGTATTAACCCTAGTCCCAAACTAGATTTTCTGATATAAGAATATATAATTTAATCAAATAGGTCGCGTGAAATCCAGTTGATCACTGTAAAGCCCAGCAAAGAAATGTAACCCAACTGAATTCATCAAAGATCCTTCAAGAAACGAAATTCCAATATACAAGAACATTAACAGAAGCAACAGAATTGAAGTCAATTAAACAGCATACCAGAGTGGAAATCAGGTTCGAGAGGATGAAATGACAGATACCCAGTTACAGAGATTCAATCTTCACACACTAAATCTTCATCTCAAACTAGCTCTTCACAACTAAAATCCATAAAACTCAGAAAACCCATTTGAAAAAACAAAAGAATTTACTAAACCCCAAAAATTCAAATATTGGCAACATTTAGGGGTGAGAAAGACTAACCGTAGAGAAGAGTCCAATCGTTTAAGCAAACAGAAATTTGGGTTTGAAGGTGTTTGTGAAGAGTGAAAAGCATGAATTGAAATGGCGGAAATCTGGTCAGGGAGAGATGCGAGTAGTTGTAGAGAAGGGGTGGAATTAAGTGTGGTTTGGTTGGGGGTTTGGTTTGTTTGGTTGGTTTTTGGTGAGGCGCCTTAAAGGTGCATAAATGGAGGTCGAGGGGGTCCAAGATGAGGCACGTGACGAACCACATCTACATCTATATGTTTCTTTTACGTATTTATTTTTTATTTCAAAAACCACGACACAAAATTCAATTTTATTCTTTAAAAACTTTTAAAAAAACACTAAAATATTATTTTACATATATATTTAATTTATTGGTCAATCCAGAGACAACCATATCAAAACGACCTTCAAATTTAATCTATCTTTCAACCTTATTTAAATAAGAAAAGACGTTTTATTCTATTTCTTAAATATTGTTATTAAAGTAATATATTCGTTTATGGTTAAATGAATGTATGTAATGAGCTTAATGTTTTGACTCTAAAGATGTCCTTTGTGACTTTAGTAATTACTAAACATCGTTACATCTTTACATTTATATATCAAGGGTTGGGTTCACGTGAGATCAATGGTTTTTCGTGAGACCCGTAAGATCAATTCCCAACCTTTGGATTAGATCATTTGGTTTCACGTGAACCCAACCCTATATATCAAAAGCTTAAGTTTAAGTTAAGGTTTCTCTCTATAGGTTGTCAGTTCGAGTTTAATTTTGGGATAACTGGAGATTTTTCTAACTGTTATCTTCAGGGTCCAATGGAATTTGTTGAGATGCGCATAAACTAGCTTGGACATGAAGGGACGGACCCACTCTATAACATATGTTGGCATGGGTAAGTGTTTTGCTCCTTCGTCGCAATGTAAAAAATTATAGGTGGTAAAAGACGGCACCGTATCATTTTGTTTTGTGCAGCCGTGTATAATTTTTAAACTACAATGACAACACAAATTTTTTGTGGTAGCGTTGGTTTGCATGACTTTCCAACCCTAGGCACGGGTACGAATCATGTTTTTAGATCATTTTCTTAGTTTTTGCTTTTAATTTCAGATTTATTATGTTCCTGAAAAAATTGCAATAAAAAACTCGAACACATGACCGCACATAGAAAAAGTAACGAAACAACTAATAGACCAATTATGGTTTTGTGGAAAATGTCCATATTTTTGCTTCTTATAGTCAAATGATGTCAACATTTGAAAAAAAAAATCCCTAACAAAAAACATTTTACAAAGGAAAGGAAAGGAAAGGAAAGCGAGGGACAAAGAATAAAAGTAATATAAAAACTCTTGTTCACGAAACTTTTTTAGGAGAGAAATAAAATGAAACAAAAAAAAAATCATAAGTTTCCTCCTAAAACTTTCCTTCCAGATGAAAACTCGAGTTTACAAAACTACCCAATTTTTCATCACTAGTTGTGTACCCGCGCAATGCGGCGGGAGCCATGAATTTTAACGATTTTGAAGTTCCACTGGTTTTATAAGATAAGATTTAACGATGATATAGGTTACACTTGGTCTTTACATATTAATACAATTTGAATAAATAAGAGTTATGGTTCCAATTACAGACTATCGATGAAAAAAATTGTACGACAGTTTAAAAATCCAATATATTTAAAATCCAACATATTTAAACGACTCCACAAATGTATTCGATTTACACCAAGAGCAAAGAACCAATAAACTTGAGTTTTAAGATAAATACTCAAAACCAATAAAGAAAACTACAAAATTGACTGATCATAAGCCATGAAAAGACAAAAAAAGATGGGTTTTAGAATCAAATTTCAACTGCTTACCCTCTTTCTTATCCAGAAACTCAGATTAAGATTGAATTAATACATGTATATATATATTTCAAAAAAACCCAAGAACATATTAAATCAAAACATATTATACAGTGCAATTTGGACAACCTAACCCCAAAATATATAGTATATATATAAATAAATAACTATAAAAGTATAAATCGTAAATATTAAAAATATTTTTTYACAATATATATAATATATAATAATATAATTAAGTCAAAAACYATTCAATATTGGACTCATTTCGAAGGTATTAACGAGACGATTATAATGGTGTAACTTGTTAAAATAAAAATGTATTTTTTTAAACATGTTTTAATTGATATACGATTATGTATGTTAATTTGATAAAGGTTTAAAATAAAACATTTAAAAGTAAAAGACGTAAAGTAAATTAATTAATTAATTATAAGGGTATAAAGTGTAAATTTAAAATTATAATTTTAAAAAAATCAATTGGGAGAGGGTGAGTGTATGTGAGGAGAGGAAGGGGTGAAAAAGTGAGTATAAAGGATATTTTGGTCATTTAGTATTTTAAGACTTTAAAACTTTTGCTAAATTTGCTTAATAAGATAGTATAGATAAATGAAATATTTTTAAAATGTATATTTATAAATTAACATATTTCCTTTCCCTTCTGTGCAAAAATAACATGAAAAAAGAAAATTCTCCTACCCACGACCAGAAGAAAAATACAAAGCCCTTTTACGTGTCATATAATAATTATACAATTGAAATTGTATTACAAAGATCTCCTACCTACTTCAACTTTTTATTTTCCTTGTTATCGGATATTTATCGTTCAATATCTGCAAATGCATATTAGCTAGACACTAGTACATTCATGAATTTTCAAATCTCGCTCCATAAACGAACAAACAAAAACACAAACTTCAACTTTGCATGGTTTCTGTTGTTAACTGTAAGTTCCACTATGAGTCAATCATTTTAAATAATTAATGTTACTTATTAAAATAAAACAAAAGGTAAATTAGTAAATTGTGTTGATTATTCAATTTCCTTTAATTAGTTTAATTATTTTAATATATGTATATATACACACACACACGGACCAAATCCGGTGGCCTTCTCCGGCACCCACCACCACTCCGGTAACCTCCTCCGGTCATCTTGTCTGACCAAGACGTCGTCTGCAATGATTGACCACTAAATACCCACCTGTGAGCATTCCAGAGTCCAGACACCTGGTGTCATAGTGGTATCACAGTGGTCTCAAAGTTTACTTGGTGTGTTTTGGGCATCACATTGTATGTATTTTGTGTAACTTTGTGTATCACATGGTGTTCATCGGAGGTCAGAAAGAGAGAGAGAAAAAAAAAATTAATACCTAAAATGCCATTTAATTATGATTTTAAGTCAAATTACCAAAAATATTAGTTTCTTAATTTACCCATTGATTTGTGGTTGAGATTGGATTTCATCGTTATCACAAACTAATCAAAACTCCCTTGAATGGACCCCACATCTTTCATTTAGATACCGGTGTTTGAAATAACTTTAATTCTAGAAACTTGTCCAAATGCAAGGTTTTAAATAAATAGGAAGTGTGGTGTGACGGTGAATTCAAGCACCAAGTCTTAGGAGTCATGACAAGACTATACCGTTTATCAATATATAACTTATGATGACAAATCTGTATATCACACGCATATATCCACACACACACACACACATATATATATATATATATATATAAGGTTGGGTTCACGTGAGACCAACATATTTTCATGAGATCCATGAAATCACTTTTTTACACTTGAAACTTTACAGCAAAACGTTGTGAAGGTAAAAAAAAAAGCCGAACATTCACAGCAAAAACACTGTGAAGGTTACCTTCACAGGGTTTTGCTGTAAAGTTTCAAGTGTAAAAAAGTGGTCTCACGGATCTAACAAAAACAGGTTGGTCTCACATGATTCCAAGTCTTTTTTTTTTCTCTCTCTCTCTCTTTATATATATATATATATATATATATATATATATATATATATATATATATATATATATATATGTCACTGATAGATAACTTTCTTTCTTTCCTATGAAAATAAAAAACCATAGGGTATTTTGATGAATCCAAGAATTTTTGGATATGATAGCACCATATAAAACGATTGCACCTTTTAGAATAAAACGGTTGCACCTTTCACAAACCTAATTTTTTTTACCTTACCATGGAGGAAAATTACGATGGCATGTGCCACCTAACCACCCCTCTAGGTCCGTCTATGGTATTTTTATTCCATATTAATGAAATAGTGACCCTAGCTAGGGACCATGGGGTAGAAGAACGATAAAATAAAAGAAAGTTAGGTATAATATGTGGCCTGAGTGCACCATTTGGATTTTAACGTTATTGACCACCAGTTAGACGACCAAACCCCTACCACCCCAACCTACCACTCTGCCCACCTACCAAAATCGATCGTATGCCCAAACGGCCATTTTTAAAATGTGATGGTCCAACCAGAATGGTTTTACATTTTACTTTGTGTTTTCACTCGATTAACGGCTGTTTAATGTATTATGACCGACACCGAGTACAAAATTTGTAATCATGTGCTGCGTTTAAACTGTAAAGAAATGTTAGTCAGTAACTATCGCTAGAAAACTCAGAATAAGATACGTCTAAACGTCCTGATAAAATACTGTATAGATCTTAATTAAGGAAAAGAAAACGTCATATAAAAGTGTTACAATAGGTTTACAAGACGTTTTTAAAAATAGAGTGACGTATTAGTTATTTTGTATGACGTTATTTGAAAAAGTTTTCGCTAAACATTCTATAAATTTATTGTAACACTTTCATATATATGACGTTTTATTCGTTGATCTTATAAATTTTAAATCTTATAAAACACTCTATTACGACACTTAAGCACTTTAAACGTCTTATAAATCCGATTTTGTCGTAATGATAGTTTTTAAATGTTAAAACGTTGTTTTATATAATACTAGAAGTCTACTGGTACAATGCAACGTGATTTATTTTGATTATGGAGGGGAGAACTCGAACTCTAAATTCTATTCCATTCTTTGGTTTATTACTTGTCCACTATGAATTTATATCATGGTTTTATGGTTTTAAGAGAGTAAGGGGCCGTTTACTAAACACTTATTCGGGTAAGCACTTACCAAGTCACATTACCTTACTGGATGAATATGACAAGGACTAAAAATCTTATCCGGTAAGAATGAAGGCAAGGACCAAGAGTCTTACCAAGTAAGTGATGGTGACGACTCTTA